CCCTGGGCTTTGGCGGATCCTTCCCCCAGGCGCGCGGCCAGCAGCCGTTGGCCTCGCTCGTGGACACCTCGTCGGGGCCCGCGCGCCTCGCCCGGCCGGTCTTCCTCGCCCATCGCGACGCCGCGGCCCGCGTGATTTGGCGGGCCGCGCCCGGCGGGGCGGGGCCGCGCGGCCCCGCGGGGGGGGGGCTCTCGGGGCCACCCGAGCCAGCGCTGGGGGGCGCTGCGCTTAAGCTTTCGGGGCAGAGCCGCGGACTGCCCTTCCGGCCCCCGGCCCCTCGGCCAGCGCGCCCCCACGCCCCGCGATCGGGGCGGGCCGCGGGCAGAAACGGCCCGGGCCCGAGCTGTTTAGGCTGAGGGTGGGGCAGCGGCGCCCACCCCTCCCAGAGACGCCCCCTGCCCCCTGCCCCCCCGCGCCCAGGGCTCGCAGGGCGCCGCGCGCGAGCGAGCGGGTTGCCCCGGTCGCCTGGGGGTCTTCCCCAGAGCCCAGTCCCTTCAAACGACCCGCCCATGTTACCCGCCTAGGAACAAGGCGGGCCTCCGTCTTCCCCGGGTCAGCCTCTGCAGGGCGCGGGTTCTCCATTCGACCCTTCCAGCAACGAGCAGCTCACGGGCGGGGGAACACCGGCCCCTGCACCCCCGAGCGTGGATCGCCACCTTGACCGTTCGACATCCGAGAATTTCCATGGCCGCCTGCGCCCCGCATGGGTCGACCGCTGGGGGCCCGCCCGCGATCGTCAACGAGGCAGCGCGCTGGTCCACGAAGCGAGCATAATACATATCTCCTCCTATAAAAAAAAAAAACACCTGGCCCACGCCGCTTGGCGGATTGAATGGCTTGGCGGATTTGCTGGCTTCCCCACGCTGCCCTCGGTCGAGGCGCGCCCTCTTTCCGTTGCCCTCGGGCACTCGGTGATGTGGGAGCTGGCGCTGCCCCCCGGCGCTGCGGGCTCGGATCGACCTCCCGCATAAGCAGCGCCATCCGCAGGCTTGGCGCCCCCACACTCGAGCTCCACCACGAAAATGCGACCCCCCTCCGACTTTCGCGCGCCAGTCGTGGAGCAGCGGGGCGGCCGCCCGTTCTTAGGCCCAGTAGACGGGTCGCAAGCCGCCGTCGGCGGTGAATGCCGCAAGGGCAACGCCGAGGGGTGCCGCGTAGATCTCGACGCCGATCGCAATGCGCTCCTTGGCTCGGCCCCATCGCTTCTCCAGGAAGAAAACCAAAATGTCGTCGGAGTACCAGAGGACCAGCCGTCGGGCCTCCCAGAACCGAGCGTGACCTCCCGCCGCCTTCCTGCCCACCAGGAGTTGCCCTCCTGCTCCTCCTCCCGCGCAAAGACTGGCTCGAGGTTTTCGCCGCCTTGGAAGGCCCGACGGGCCCAGGCGAAAAGATCCGCAGGTCCACGGCAGCCCGTCCTCCTCTCCTTCGGCGGTGGCCCCTCCCGGGGCGGGCGCGCGCCTCCTCCGGGCGCCTCGACGGCAGCGGGCAAAGTGTCATCATAGCGCGGAGCCTCCCCGCCTCGGTCCTGGACCTGGGGGCGGGGGGCGCCTTGGCCCAGTGGCGCGGGGGGCTCCTGGGCGGGCCCCCTTCTGGAGCGCGTGCGGAGGTCGTGGTGCCCATCCGCCCTTTCCCCACCTGAGTCTGGGCAGCCCTACTCTTCCCGCGCTGTCCACGGGCGTGGACTCTGGGGTTTCCCTAATGCTAGGCTCTCCCACGGTGTCTCCCGGCGGGCCCGGAGGCACTTGATGAAACGCCTGGGCCATGAGTCCCACTTCCCTAGCGTCCTCGTCCACGCCGCGCGCGAGAAGGTCCAAGGGGCGACCTCCAACTGGGAGCGGAGACCCAATCACCGCCAAGGGGAGCACAAGGTCCTTGGTTCCCTGCGTCGGTGGGGTCCACGGTCCCCGACGCAGCCTGGGGGCCGAATCTGGGACGCGACCAGGCGGCCACCCATCTTACCCCCAAGGAAAGGAGACCCCGCCACCACCAGCACGACGCCGCTCATTAGGAACATTGCCATGGCCGAGTTCAGGGGCAGAGCCCCTTCGCACAAAGCGTGCAACCAGCTCAAAACCAGTTGGCTGCAAGGAGTGGGAGAGACAGAAGAAACGGGCAGGCCGCACTGGAGAATACTGCGCCCTAACAAGAACATGCGCCCTCTCCCCGATTCGACTGGCGGCAAACCTGGGACCACGAGGACCAACCCCACACGATCCCTTGCAAAAACAATACGAAACACATGTTGCGTTCACATCTGGATCATGCGCGGACGCCCTGCGATCACATTGCATGGTTTTTGAAAAGGACTGGGGGGGGGGGGGGGGCGGAACGTCGCCTGCTGTGTCCAATTCCCAACCCCCCAGCCATCCCTTGGACAAAACAATGCGAAACGCACTTTGCACCAAAATCTGTATCATGCGCGGACGCCCCGTGATCACTCCGCACTGGTTCTTGACAGGGGCGGCGGGGTGACCGACATATTGCTTGCTGCGTACAGAAAGCACAATATTCACTTTGCCAGTGACAGGGGGGGGGGGGAGGCATACTGCCTGCTGCGTGTTGGCCCAAAACCCATGCCAGAAACAAGTGCACCATGACTGCGGGGCACACCCACACTTTTTCGGTCGGCGGGGCGAAAGCGAACCTCTTCCGCTAAAAGCTAGGCGGGCTACGCACAGCTCAACTTGGGGAGACACGGCACTGGCGGGCGGGGCCTCAGGCGGCCGGAGAGGGCGGGGCCCGGGGTGCAGGAGGTGCCGAGGAGCTTGCACAAGAAAAGGTACGCCGTGGACAGGAGCCGGAGGCGAAGATCTGGAGGGTGAGCGATGTGGTGTTGCCGTCAACGGCACAGGGGCACACCCACACACGCAAACCCGCCGTCACCGTGCATTGTTTTTTTGGGCAGGAATGGTGAGGGGTAGACAAATTGCCAACTGCGGCGCACCTGGTGCGCGTGGCGCACCTCGTGGGATTCGCGCAACTGGCTGGCGTCTGCATTGGTTCCCGATGGTTGTCAAATTGCAAAGGCGGCCCCTGCCTCTGCTGAGACTCAGGCGCTAGTCATGTAACGAGAGGGCGCGTGGGAGTGAGCGAGACAGCTTGCGGCGCTCTCGCTGGGAACGTGACCCCTCGCCCTGCCCCCACCCGTGGGGTCAGGACCAAGGCTTCGCGAGGCGTTGGAGTCCAAGATGGTCCAAGATGGCTCCAAGATGGCCTCGGATAGCTCAATGACCGCCAAGACGGCACAGGATGGCCCAAAACGGCCCCAGAAGGTCCAAAGATGCCTCCAAAAAAATCCAAGATGGCCCAAAGACAGATGCAACTAGACACTGAGCCCCTCAAGGATACCAAGCGAGAGGCAACAACCATTCAATAGTAGCAAGCGCAGGCCCCAAATAGATCGTAAGACTGAAATTGAATGGACTGGAGTGGACTGCAGTATGCTGGACTGGAATAGACAGGGCTGTTTTGGAGAGGGCTCTACTCCGCTTTACTCGACTCTACTCTTTTCTACCCAACTGCACTCTACCATCTGCTCTACTCGTCTCTACTCTGATCTACTCTACTCCACTCCTACTTTACTCTACTCCTACTGCGCTACCATCTCTCCTCTACTTTACTCAGATATGCTCTGGTTTGTTTAATGTTACTGCGCAATCTGCTCTAATCTGCTCCAGTCTGCTCTACTCTGCTCTGTTTTATGTTACTGCGCAGCGAAGCCACGCGCAACAGAGGAAACGAAGTGCGGCTGGAACCATGCGCAACAGAGGAAGCCGTGCGCAGCAGAGGAAGCCATGCGCAACAGAGGACACGTGTAGGGGCAACATTGGGAAAGGAGGAGTGGAAAGTTCAGAGGGCTCGAGCTAGGACTCCACTAGGCAAGCCTGCTTGGAGAAACCACACACGTGATTCAATATAGTTGGCCCTCTCACGTGTACGCTTCTTCCGACTGGCTGTTGAAGCCTCAAGATGGCTCCAAGATCACCCATGAAAGCCCTACACTAGATGGGCCCACCGAGGGTCCTTTATCAGTGCCGCCGCCTTCGCTCATAGCCAGCACCATTGGACCACTGACGGTTTTCTTGAATGATTATGGTCTCTCGGAAGCATGCTTCGGCTGTTTGGGAGTCAGAGTGGCACCAAGTCGGCCCCAGACGCCTTATGCTGGTCTCCCAAATGACGGAAGATGGTCCAGGTTGGCTCTAGATTGCCTCCAGCACGCCTTCCGGAGACTCCAAGGCGACCCAGAGACTGCTCCAAGTGGACTCGGAGCCCCCGAAGGATACCCCCGAGAAGCCCAAATCATTCAAACAACTTAGCATGGCCGTATGAGTTTGACCTCCTCGCCTTTACGCGTACAAGCTTTGGAGCCCCAAGATTACTTCAAGATCGTCCAAGAGGGCCCCAGTGGGGCCGAGAAGGGCTACAAGACGAACCCAAGAGCGCCCAAGAGCGTCCCAGGAGGACCCCACAATGCAACGCTTCGGGGCCCGACGAGGGGAGCTACTTTGATGCCGCCCCCTTTCTTGATGGGTGTCCCCTAAGATGATCCCGAGAAGGCGCCCAAGGTCCCCAAGGAGCACCAAGAGAACCTCAAGAGGGGCCCAAGAGATGCTCAAAGGCATCCAAAGTGGTTTCGAGATGCGCCCAAGACAGTCTAATCAAATTTCCAAGAGGCTCCCAGATTGAAAGATCGGCGAAGACATTTGCGGTTGACTCATGAGTCTCTCGAGCTGATCCTGGACTGCAGTTTGGCGACTGCCCCGCCATCTTAGCTCCACTGCTTGCTCCTACACTTGATCCAGGCAACACCAGGCATCGTTTCTGGATCGACGTGAGTGGATACGCGAAGCGTCAATCATTCGAATTGTTGCCAAGGAAGGTGCCGCATATCGTCTTAAAAGACGACATAATCAAATGTGCCAAACGGTACGGCAGAGCCCTTATTGCGGAGCCCCAAGCAGGAGCCGGGAAGCAAGCAGCTTCGGAAGCGACGCGCGCTAGGACCACTGCTCAACCTCGTCCTGTACCGAAACCTCCAACAAGTTGCCCGTGGCGGCCTGGAAGCATGCACTCCAGGATCGGATGTCCTTGAACGGGTGGAATGCGGCAAGCTGATCGTTGTTACAGTCGGCGCCTTGATGCCCGTTGCCAATGCAGTTGTTGTCACCAATGAGCTTCATATCGCTGAGCTTACTTATGCCCAGCGAGTTCATGCAGGACACCATAAACACGTCCTCGCCCCAGTCTTGCCAGTGGAATCCGTTCACGCAACTCTTGTTGTGCCCCCAGGCGTACTGCTGGACGGCCTTCCGCGAGAAGGCCTCCAGGGCCCCGTACATCATGGGGAAGTCTGGCCTTTCCGGGTAGGCGTTACAATTCAGCACGTAGTGCTTTCCCTCCCCGAGGCCGGTGTAGGGCAACAGGTGCGTCCGCACCCGGTCCGGCAGCATGACAGCGTCGGGATCGACCTTCAGCGTCCAGTCGTAGAAGTCGAAGTCGCCCCTCTGGATGACCGCCCGCCACGCCTCTATGAACAGGAGGGTGTTCGCGGCGGTGCCGTCCGAAGAGACGCCCACGAAGTCCGTGTTCACCTCGATGTGCAGGTGGGTGGTCTGGTCGAGGCGACTCATCTCCCCGTCGGCCACGATGGCGTGGCCGTCGCAGGCGAAGATCCCCGCGCGTGCCTCGGCCTGCATGCGAATGATCACCTTCTCGTAGCCCTTCGTCCGAACCAGGGCCCAGCAGTAGAGCCCGGGCCACCCCTGGGTGGCCAGGCCCCAGCTCCTGGGGCCCACCTCCTTGCAGGACCAGGTCTCGTTGTCGTACGCGTCCGTGCCGCTGGTGCACCCCTCCCTGCACATGCCCCAGTACTCGTTCTTCAGGTAGCACTGGTAGCCGGGCTGCTTGCAGCACTGGGTGCCGCTGCAGTCCTGCAGCGCCCCCGAGCAGGTCTGCTCCACCCAGGGGGCCACCTTCCCGCCGGAGGGCCCCTTCGCCGGGGCGCTGTCCTCTTTCGCCGGGGAGATCTCCCCGAGCGCCTTGCAAGGGGCCCGAGGACACGCAAATAAATACACACAAATATAATGATTCCCCATATTTCCCTATATTTTCTGGGTTTTTGTCTTCCCCCCCTATTCCCATATTTTCCTATATTTTTCTGGGGGTCGACGATTAATTGTGTCTGTGTGCTTCTTTCCCTCCTGAGCCTTGCACGACCACCCTGGCCCGGCGCCGAAGTCGGCGGTGCAGTTCGGCAGGCACTGGGCCCAGTACGGGTCCTTCTCGAAGCACTGCATGCCCGGCTCCGAGCAGCACCGCGTGGCGGAGCACTCCTGGTAGCCCTTCGAGCACCAGCCCTCCACCCAGGCGGCCGCTCCCTTCGCCTTCTTGCCCAGCGCCTTGCAGGACCAAGGGCTGGGGTCCTCGTCGGACTGGTCCGGCACGCCATGCCTGCACGCCGCCTTGCAGGAGGCGAAGCTCCCGTTCTTCGCGAAGCACGTGGTGCCAGGGGTCTCGCAGCACTCGGACGAGATGCAGTTCTCGCCCGGCTTGGAGCACTGGACGGGCTGGCCTGGCGTCCGGATGCCGATGCTGTTGCAGCTCCAGAGGCCGTCGTCCTCGTCCGTCGGGTCGGGGCCCGGCACGCAGTCGGGCTTGCACCTCCCGTGCGTCGCGTTCTTCGCGTAGCACTGCAGGCCACGGCCGACGCAGCACCTCGAGCTGATGCAGCTCTCCTCGCCCGAGGCGCACCTCGTCATGCTCTTGTTCAGGAACGCCTTTCGTCGAGGGCTTGACGACTTCTGCTGTCCCTCGACTCGCGCCGGAGCTTCCACGAGCTCTCCAGGTTTACCCGTGGGTCCCTGGATTGCGTGGACTGGTACGGATTTGCATCATGGATGCTTCTGTGTTTCCCCCTACGCATCTGGATCTACTTCGATTTCTCTGGCTTCATCCCCGCATTTCGATTGGAGAAAAATCGTCAAGCCGTTGGGGAGCCTTGGCAAGGAAGCCGACCAGGCACTTCCGGCCGCAGGCGGTCGCGTTGGCGACGCCGCCGCCGTCCGTGGTGTCAGTCTTCGCCTCTTCGCCCGGCGCGGCCACCAGGGCTCCTCGCTCGGGCGGGGCGGGCGCACCCGCGTGACCGTCCGAGGCGGCGGCGACGGCGGCGCCGCGGCCCGCCTGCGCGGCCTGCATGGCCTGCACCCGCTCGATCAGCTCCCTCCTCGTGAGCTCCTGCAGCGGCAACTTCCCCCTACGTGCAGTGCCGCGGGTGGCGGCCTGTCTTCCCATCCCACCATCATAAGGGGGATGCGAAGTCCCTGAAGACGGGACGGGGTGGGTGGGCACGAGTGGGCATGATAGGCGGCTCAAAATCAAAAGAATCATGGCCTCCTCGTTCATCTTATCATTGACGTCATTCCATGCGTAGCATGCTCTCCCCAACATCGCGATGTCTTCTCACAACGTCGGCCCCCATGGACGCCTCGACCGACTCCCCGGGACCGGCTTCTCGTCCCGACCCGCTTTTGGATGGCCCCGGAGGCCCAGCGAGGGCCCCCGGAGGCTGAAGAGGTCGTGATGTCTTCTCGTGAGATCCTGCAGCGGCAGCTGCCACGGGCCCAGGTGCTCGCGGCCCTCCGTGGCCGCGGCAGCGGCCGCCGCCGCGTGCGCGGTGGGCTGTGGCGCGGCCGCGTGCGCCGTGGACCTCTGCAGCACCGCGTCCGCGCCGCCGAGCCGCAGCGCCGCTCCGCCACGCGGCCCGCCTCCGGCGGCGGCGCGGAAGGCCTGCGGGACAGCAGCAAGCGACCGCAACCGCATCGAGGACACGCCCTGGGGGGTGTCATGCGCCTGCCAACGCTCGCCAGAACACCGACGATCGGCGGCGAGCGAGGGGGGGAAGTGAGAAGGAGAAGGCCCTCTCAGAAGGCGGCGGGGCTGCTCATCAGCCCTCCAGCCTTCCGATGCGTCTTCCGCGCCTCCGGGGCAGGCCTGGAAAACTGCTCAGACGGCCGGGGGACTCCCGAGTGTTCTGGGGAGGCCCGCCCCTTCTCACTCTCCCCCCCGGGCCCGCCGCCGAGAAGCCAGCTTGGCTTAAGTCGGGCGTGTCCCTCTACAGGGGGACTGTCGACGAAAAATGAAAAAATCTAAGAGATGCCCCAAAATGGTCAGAACATACTAAACAAATTGTCCCCTGACTATGTTTTGACTATTTTTGAATACTCCTCCCGCAGACGGGCAAGCCCGACTGAAAGCCTGGCCGTGGTCGACGCGGCGCCCCAGGACGCACGGCAGCGGCCACGACCGGAGCGCTCCCGTCGAGGTCGGCGGGCTCCGGCCCCGAGAGGGGCCCAACCCGCAGAGCGTCCCTCCTCCTCCTCCTCCTCCTCCTCCTCCTCCTCCTCCTCCTCCTCCTCCTCCTCCTCCTCCTCCCTCCTCCCTCCTCCTCCTCCTCCTCCTCCTCCTCCTCCTCCTCCTCCTCCTCCTCCTCCTCCTCCTCCCTCCTCCCTACTCCTTCCTCCCCCCCTCCTCTTTCGCTCCCCCCACCAGACCACCCCGACCCAGCCCGAAGACCCGAATTTGAATCGAAGTTCGGGTTGGGCGGGGGGTACGGGTTTCATGTGTTTCTGTCAATGTTCCCCGACCCCCCCCCCCCCACTGGAAATCGAGGATAAATTTGGGCCTTCGGGTCGGGCTGGGGTGGTTTGGTGGGTGATGATTGGCTGTGCCCAGGAGGCCGCCACGCTCAGGGCGGCGACGGCGCAGGCGGCGAGCAGGGTCAGCGCAGCGAAGGCGGCTCGGCCGCCCGGGGGCGCGGCGGCGGCCCTTTGCGGGCGGCGACGTCCGAACCGTGCCTTCGGCCCGTGCCGCGACCGCTCCGGATGTCAAAAACCCCTGGGGAGGGAGGGTATCCAGACATGATGGCGTCGTAAAAAATCAGGACGGGGAGTTTTTCGCCGTTTTCGGCCTCTAGAGGCCCTCGCCGGGCCCCAGGACCGTCAGAAAACGACTCAGGATGAAAAACTGGCCCCGGGGAAAGGGCCTGGACTTCCAGGGACGCCGTCCTGAAAAAAACAAGACGTCGCATGTCTGGGTAAAGTTCGGGGTCCAGGGGGGGGGATCGACTGTCAGGGGTTGAGACGGGGGGGGGGGGCTTTTTTATCCGGGGTCGCGGTTACGGACGCACGATACGGGTGCAAGGGCATTGGAAGGCCATCTCGAGGCTTTCCGAGCGGGGCGCGGCCAGCGAAAGTGGCCGAGGATGGGGCCGAGGAGGCACGGAGCAAGGATACAGGGGTGCCCTTGGGAAGGTTGCCCATCCTTGCCATGCGGGGTGTCTGCACCCACACCCAGCACCGATTCTCCTGCCCCGATGGGAGACGAGAGAACTCAAGACTTCGCATCAAAAAGGAAGGGGTTCACAACCCTCCACGGCGAGCAGTCTCAGGCCCCCCTCCCAGGCCAGCCTTTCGCTCAGACCCCAGTGGAACCCTCACAGACAGCTCCAATCAGACCCCCTCCCAAATCAGAACATCCCCCTTTCATGGCTAAATCCGGCAAAGAGTTCGGACTTCGCCACGTGTGCGACAAATCCCGAACCGTACCCCGCCGCCCATCGAGCTGCCTGAATCGTTGATCGGCGAGGGTGCGGCGGGCTCGTGCCGTGACGACCTGCGAGTTGGCTTCTGACCCCAGTGGATCGTTCAGCCTTGAACGATCGGCGGCTTTCCGATCGCCAGATCGTTCCATATCGGCCGACTCTGGGCAACTGGCGGCGCTCAACCTTGAACGCTCGCGGCGGGGTCGCGGCGAGTCGACACGACGCGAACCTGCCGCAGGGCTCTAACATCGGCAAACATCACGACCAAGGGCCACAGACCCCGTTCGAGCCTGGCCGATCTGTGAGGCTCCCGGGGCCCGAAGGAGGAACTGCTGCGCCCGGACCTCCTCCTCCTCCTCCTCCTCCTCCTCCTCCTCCTCCTCCTCATTTTACTCCACCAGCTGGGGGGAGGAGGAGGAGGAGGAGGAGGAGGAGGAGGAGGAGGAGGAGGAGGAGGAGGAGGAGGAGCAGGAGGAGGAGGAGGAGCAGGAGGAGCAGGAGGAGCAGGAGCAGGAGGAGGAGGAGGAGGAGGGCCGTGGCTGATCGCCGAGGCTCGGGCCAGGACTTCGCCGCCCCGACCTCGTCAGGGGCGACGTGGCCTCGGCCTCGGAGGCGGTGCCCTCGGCGCAGCACGGGGCCGCGAGGCCCGCCAGTTGCCGCGCCTCCCGTGCGGCGCCGCCGGCCGCCATCGTGGCGCGGACTCGCGGGAGCGAGGCTGGGAGCGCCTGGAGCCTGGATGGCTGCGGGTGCGCGGCGCGCGCCCGCCGCTCGACGCCGATCCGCGCTGGTCGTCGCCAAATCGACGTCGATCGACGCCGATCGACGCCGATCACGCCAGATTTGTGCTTTCTCAGCGATGGCGAAGTGCTAACGCACGCTGGTGCAATCTGAAGACGGCATTGCAAGGACATACAGGCCATGGAACGAGCACGACGCACAGCTTTTGTTGTTGCTTCTGCTCGGCCTCGGGGAAGGGGGCTCGCCGGGCCCCGGGGCCGTCAAACAACGGCCCGGGATGAAAGGCCGGTCCAGGGAAAGAGGTCGGGGCCTCTGGGGGTCGAGGTCATGAAACAATCATGACGTGGGGGGTCTGGGCCTAGAGTGTGGGGGGGGGGGGGGGCAAGTGGTGTGCGGGGGAGAGACGCTGAGACTCTGAGGCCCGACGGCACCGCCAAGCGCACCAGCCACCACCCACCATGCGACGTCGGCAAAGGCCTGCGAATGGTACCGACGCGTCTTGAGCTCCAGATTGGGCGCCTCAAGTGGTGGCGCTCAGTGGCCAGTCGCACTAGCACTCTGGGCATAGGTGGTTTAACGATCTTGTCCTTTCATCTTCCCAAGCCCCGCTTCCCTTCATGGAGGGGTACCCTGCACTTCCCCCTTTTCCCCCCCGTGATTTGTCAGGGAGCACATGTTCGCACAAGATGGCTCTAAGAGGGCCTCTGATGCTCTAAGATGGCGCACAAGATGCTCTAAGAGGGCGTATTATCTACGGCGCCGGTGGCAGCGGCGGCGAGTGTGGCCACCGCACCTCCTGCTACTGGAGGCGTAGAAGAATGTCAAGACCTGTCTGTCAAGGCTTCTGTAGTCTTCTGATGACCCCCTCCCAAGGCAAAGCAATGTTGCTCCCGAAAACTCTGGAGAGCGTCTCATTCCGACCTCCCCCAGGGAGGGCGGGAGGAGGAAGAAGGACCTCATGGTAGCCTGGGAAGGAGGAAGAGGCAGGGAGACATGCCAGGCGGCGAGAAGCAGGAGGCTGCATAGTGGCAGCTGCAGGTCAGGGCTGAAGGGCTCGTCCTCCTCCTCTTCTTCCACCCACGACATCCGACGTAGTTTTTGTCCCTGCGGGCCAGCTTTCCATCCCGAGTCGTTCTTCGGGCCTGGCAAGGCCCCCGTAGGCCGAGAAGTGCCTACAACCCTCGCGTTTGTTTCGCCACGCTGGAGTGTCAGGGCTCTTCTATTCCCAGATGTCCTCCGACTCGATTTTGTCATCCGCGGTCCCAGCGCTCGCGACCCCTTCCCCGAGGAGTAATGTTCTTGCGTCCCGGACCCAGTTTTGACGACCCTGAGGCCCGAATGGGCCCCAAGGGTTCAAAACGAAGGCAAACGCCGCGATTGGAAAACCAGATCCCCGAGATCCGCAGCTGCGAACAACATGGAGACATCGCGACCAATCACCAATCACGACTGCGTGCCTTTTTCGAGCTAGATCGAACTGTGATGGCCCCGGGGCCCGAAGCCAGGCGAAAACGCCTGGCGTGAGAAAACTGCAGCCTCTGGATCTCAGGGGTCGTCGGAGGTCTGCGACTCTCTCTCCTCCCCCCCTCGGCGACTCCGAAGGGCGTGTGTTTGCACAGGGTGCAGCTCGCAACCCGCACCCTGGGGGGCGGGCGAGGACCTCGACAGAGTTCTCCGCCGCGTCCCGAGGAGGCCCGACGAGGGCAACGTGGTGCCCCAGCGCAAACGGCGCAGATCGCAAACCACACTCCACCAGACCCTCTGTACGGCAGGTGCGTGTCGTGCCGATTTCGGCGTTGGTTTCAGACCCCGCGGGGATCGTTCCACCTTGAACGATCGGCCGTTTCCGAAACGTCCGATCGTTCAACATCCACCGATTCTGAGTCGCTGGCAGGGATATACGTTGAACGCTGGCGACAGGGTCGCCGCCAGTCGACACGACGCGGACATAGGCTCTTGCGAATCGACGCTAATCGACGCTAAATCGACGCTAATCGACGCCAGTCGACGCTGACTCGGCGCTATCGCATCGATTACCTGACGCTGATCGACGCCGGCGGTCTTACGACGGTATACAAGGCTCCCATGATCTGCGACCGAAGCAAACCACACCCCAGCGTAACTACACCCATTGCAGTTGCCGGTCCCCCCCCCTCGATAACCTTTCGGAGGTCCGCGCGGGTTTCTTAGATGTGCGCTGCATCCCCGTCCGTGGCGCGCTGGGCGCGCCAGCGGCGGCGCCAGCGGCGCCGCCTGGGGGGCCCCAGCGCGACGTCGGCCATGCATCGGCGTCGGCGGCGCGGAGAAAATCGGGCTCCACATCGAGCCGCATCGCCGATGCATCGGCGATGCGGAGCGGTCCTTCGACCCGAGTCACTCGGACCCCCTGAAGTCGGAGGAGAGCCGCGTGAGCCAACGGCGGCGGACAGCGGTAGCCTAAATCCACACAACATTGATCCCCAGACCCTGAGGGTTCAGACGCAGCAGTTTTCCGAGCTGCGCCCAGCTGTGGCGGCGAAAGGAACCCCCCTGAGGGCCAAAAAGGTGACGCTCGTCTCAACACGCCCTCCTTTGACTTAGGAGGCCTAGCCTAGATAGCAGTCGCCGAACCCCCGTCCCGCCTCGACGTAGTAGCTGCACAGCTCCTCGCCCGCCCGCACAGGGAGCGAGGCGAACACCTGGGCCTGCAGGGAGCACGAGAATCCGGGGGCGTGGGGGGGAGCCTTACCCTCTTCCCCCCCGGTCTCGATCCTTCCTCCTCCTATCATCCATCTACTCTCTCTCTCTTTCTCCTCCTCCTCCTCCTCCTCCTCCTCCTCCTCCTCCTCCTCCTCCTCCTCCTCCTCCTCCCTCCTTCTGCTCCTGCTCCTGCTCCTCCTCCTCCTCCTCCTCCTCCTCCTCCTCCTCCTCCTCCTCTTCCTCTTGCTCCTTCTCCTCCTCCTCCTCCTCCTCCTCCTCCTGCTCCTGCTCCTGCTCCTGCTCCTCTTCCTCCTCTCCTCCTCCTCCTCCTCCTCCTCCTCCTCCTCTCCTCCCTCTCCTCCTCCTCCTCCCTCGTCCTCCTCGATCCAACTCCACCTCCTCCTCCTCCTCCTCCTCCTCCTCCTTTTTGTTCCTCCTCTTTCTCTTCCTCTTCGATCCTCTTCCTCTTCCTCCTCCTCCTCCTCCTCCCCCTCCTCCTCGCACGTGGCTTCGGCGACGATGGTCAGCAGGTCCCTTGGCGCCGCCGCGCTCGGCGGAGCTGCCACCGCACCGTCGGGACCAACCGAGGGCCGCGCTTGGCAGGCATTTCGCACACGACGGCTGCATCCCAAACCTCGAGGTGAGCTTGCGGGCGGCGGTTCCAGGGAGGCTCGGGGCCCCTTCCGCGGCAGCGCGTGGGACTGGAACGAGGGGCTCCAGCACAGCTAGGTGCAACGTGGCCGCGCGATTCATCTGAGCAGCGCTCACAGTCGCGAGGCTCTGGATCTGAGGCCGCCCCATGTCAGCAGTTTGTACCATCCCTCGCGAGGGAGCGCACAAGAGGGCGCGTGGAAAAGAGTCGCAAACAACATCGCTTCTTTGTGGGGGGTGGAGGACGGGAGAGGGAGGCACTGACCGACTTACGAGAGGACCGAGGAGAGACGAGAGGGATATAAACAACCGATGACGCGCAGCGGGACATCACTTCGCAATCGGTGAGCGCCAGCTGTGGTCTGACGCCGTCAGGCATAACCACACGCCGAGGTACTTCAGAACGCTCGTGGTGGGGGTGTCTCTTATGGCAGGGAGCAACTGAGCAACGCGCGAGGCGAGGGGGGCGGAAAGCTCAGAGGTGTACGTTCCACTACGAGGGGGGCAACCACACACTTCTGGATCTTCAAATCGAGGACAGGCGCTCGCTTGGCGTTCGCAGAGATGCGGCTCAGCATGTGCAGGTGGATGAGATATCTCTAAGCGGCGCCGACGTCGCCCGCGCACGCTCTGACTATCCCTTGTCCATGCCACGGATCGACAGGTCGAAAACTTGCATGCAAGAGTCCGCCGGCCGCGTGAAGACACGGCCCAAGCTAAGACATCCCTGAGCGAATTCGCCCATGGCCCAAAAGCGAAAGTGTAAATCCGAGCCACTGGGACCGTAGCAGCGCGCACCGCTCAACGGGAACTCCGCGACATGCAGCACCGGCGTCGGTAACGACATCGCATCGATTATTTCGAGGACACAGCTGCGGGCTAAGCTGATGGAGACCTGACCGAAAACGCGTCCCACAAGAAGAGGAATGGCTGCGGGGGTGTCCTGGTGCGTCGAATGGATTCTGCTGTAGACATCTAGTTCGAATGCTTATTCCTGAATATACGGTGCCCACGCAGCCCCTTTGAATGGGGCTCCGGTCCCCTTTGTGGCTCGCTTCTGGCCCAGCTCGCAGCGGGCCGCTCCTGTCACGATCGCGCCATCGGTGTTCTTATATCCTAGGGGGCGTAGGTCAGAGGCATGATTACTACATCCGTCAATGGTGTCTTCGGGGTCGTCACCTCTATGTGCGAATGTTCCCCGCGTGCTGTCATGCCCAAGAGGCGCCAGTTCCCTTCGAGCTGCCACCAGAGGAAATCGCAGAGGACCTGGGCACCCAAAAGGGGGGCCTTCCAGACGCCGTAAGGGAGGGCACCTGGCCCAGGGGCTGCGTGCGTTTGCTCATCCACGCGCGCCTGGGCGTCGCGGAGCACGGGCGGCGCGAGGCGGGGGGCGCCCGTCGGCGGCGACGACATCTATGGGCTTAGAATCGGCCGCCCGCCCCCAATGCCCGGCCATCCCCTGGGAGGCTTGCGCGGGAGAGGCGAGGATGTCCCCGCCAGCTCGCAAGCCCGCCGACATCGCTGAGCGGTCAAACGGAGCCATCAGCCTACTGCGCTGAGCAAGTATGCGAAATCGTTCACGTGCAATCTGCTCCCTCTGGCCAACGGATTGCAAGCCCGTGCCGAGCGCTGATTGTCTTCAGCATCGGCATGTCGGGGCGCGCCAGGGGCATCTGCAAGACAAACTGGGCAGACGAAGGAGACGCGGGAGGTGATCGGGCCAATCTGAAGGCGTCGGCGGGAAAACTCGCATCGAAGAAGCTGGCGCGAAAATGCCGAACCCTGTCGTCGCGCGACCTGGACTGCAGATCTGATCAGCATCATTTTGGACGCGTTCGGGCTCGGCTCGGTCGCGAACGTCGAGTTCCTGGCGAACCTGGCAGCTTCTCGCGCTACTTCTCTGCACCGGCGCACTCGAACAGCGGGGGCGGCGAGGGGGAAATCAAGCTGGCCCAAAAACTCGTCCAAGAACTTCTGAACATCGGGGCGCTGGAAAATCGTTTCGCCATCGGCTGGGCGAGGGGGGGCCGCGGCGGCCGGCGGCGCGGTGCAGCTTGGAGCGGGGCGCGGGCAGGAATGCGCCGCCCTCCCGCGACTCTGCGTGCGAAGCCAACTGGGAACAGCCAGGAGTTCACGATATCGACCTTCGGGGGGCGCTGCTGGGCACCGTTGTAGCGGGGGTGCCTTCCTCGAGGGGATCCTCGGGGCAATGCTGGGGGAGGGGCTGCTAGGGAGACCTGCGCTGTCTTCTCCATGGTGCGAGGGCTCCGTGAGGCTCTGGAGACTGCGGGGGGGCCGACGGGCGAGGCGCTCCAGCGGCGAGATTCAAGTCTCCAGCTAGGATCACGAAACGGCGCTCAGGCATACTGCGTGCGATATCGCTGCGCTGCTGCATGGTGCGCTTGATGATCGCGACATGTCGCGCGGATAGCCCATGGCTGTGCATGTTGACGTTCTTGATGTGCGCGTGCTCTGCGCTGTTCACCAGGATGCCTAAATCGAGGCGTAGCGCACCTCAGAGGAAGCCGATGTAGCCGCACCTGGCCAGGAGATTTGCCGATGGTAAAACGCCCACTCCGCCGCGGCCGCTGCTGGGCCCGACAAGCGAAGCCCGGAACTCGAAAGCAGAGTTCGACATGCGCAGGCAATCGTGAACGTCGTCCACGGATCCATGGGCCTCCTGTGTGTGCCACGGTATTGCAATCGTGCAAGAGGCTATGCAGCTGCTTCAGTTTTGGGGTTATTCAGGAGGGAAAAACACACTGACACAATTAATCGTCGATTCCAAAGGAAATATTGGAAAATATGGGAATTGGGCGGGAAGACAAAAATCCAGAACATATGGAAAACATTGGGCATCCTTTTATTCGTATGTATTTATTTGTGTGTCCTTGGCCCCCTTGAGTTATGGTGCCTAGGCAGTGACGGAACAGGGCCCGGCTCCAGGTAGTGATGCCCAGCCCTGGAGGCGCCGCCTCTCGACGGCAAGGCGATCGAACGAAACAGGGTGACAAAGGCTCCACCCCTCGGACTCGATCCCATGGGCGAAGAACTGGTCGATGCCGCTGACGGTGTCCGGCTTTCTAAGGCCCAGGGCATCGAGGGCCTTCAGGTCGCACTCGAGGATGGGGGGTCGGAGCGAGACCTTGAGAAACGCTCTCCGCTGCGAGGATATATTCTGCCAGTGTTCCTGTCAACGAAGAAGGCGAGGTCGTGGTACTTGTCTGTGAGAAACCCCTTGGTCTTCTTGATAGCGAATTCTCGGCGCATATGGGAAAGATGTTTGTCAACTGAAGCGTACCAATCCACATCCTGACGCTGCGCGGAGAAGACGGCGAAACGGCGGAATGAACCGTCAAAGTTCTTGATGTTGGCAAGAGCTTGCGAGATCATGCGGGCCACCCAGCCAGGGGCCGTAACGTTGACTGTGGGTATGCTGCCCGCTGGTGCGCCTTGAACTTTCCGAGAGAGGAAATCGAAATTGGACGCGGTGAGCCATTCCGCAAGATCTTCACAAACTGCTTCGCGGCTGACCAGGGCTGCAACACGAACGACGAGGATGGCGGGGTCTGTCTTGCGATGGGCGGCGGCGCTGGGGGCAACGGTGTGCGGCTCTTCGGTACGAACCACTTTGAGAAGCTCTGCAAGCTCACGGAGCTCACTGGACATGACATCCACGCGCTGGTCATGCTGGTCGAGGCTCAGTGGCTCCAATGCTGGCGTAAACCTGTTTCGCGAGGTTGGCGCAATGCTTCGTGAACATGTCCGTGAGGGACGCAAGGTCGCCCTTCATGCGCTTGATGGGAGCCACGACATCATGTTTGGTGACATTCACGTACGCGCGGAAGCACTCGAGCTCGGTGGGGTCATCCGCGGACGGGCCGAAGGTATCGTGGTTCTCCTGAAACATGGGCTGCTCAGCTGGATGAGACTATGGGCACAACATGGAGGGGAGCAGCAGGACCCCGTTCACGTGGGGGCGCCGCCGCGGCCGCTACTGACGAGGAAGCGCTGCCCTTACCATGGCCAACCTTGCCTTGGCATTCGATTCGTGGCGACGTGTGAGGATGCGACTTAGCGACAGCACCCACAGAGCCAGAAGGACCACTGCGATCCACATGTGCCATGTTCCAGTCGGGACTTCCACTGGAGGCGCCGTGCCTGTGGGATGTCTCGGGCGGACTGCCTGAAAGAAAAGGACATGGAGGGTGTCCGCCTGCGCTCGACGCGCAGGATCACTCGAAAGGAGCGCTGCCCGCTCAGAATGGGACCTGTTCCCACTTAAGCTTGAATGGCACGGGACTCCACCTCCACCTCCTCCTCCTCCTCCTCCTCCTCCTGCTTCTCCTTCTCCTCTGCAACCTCCTCCCTCTCGCCCTCTCCTCGATCCTCGCTTGCCAACCTTCCTCCTGCAGGCGGGAATGATTCGGCCCAGCCTCAAGGGGTTAAGCATCGTTCAGGAGTTTTGTTTGGAGTGTGTCGCTGCAACGGCCCCTGCGACGCGTTGCTGCAGACTCGTGCCGTGGCGGCTCTGGCGCTGGCTTCTGACACTGCGTGGATCTTGCAAGTTTGAACGATAGGCGGATTTCGATCACCAGATCGTTCCACCTTGCCCGATTCTGGGCCACCGGTGGCAGCCAACGCCTGAAAATGCCCACGGCGGGGTCGCCGCTGCGCCGGCGCGACGCGAACCAGCCGCGCGCCCTGCGAGCCGACAGCGCGCGCCGCTGCGCTTCTCGTGGGCGGGAGGCCAGGAGAAGCTCGGAACGTTGCTGCCTGGAGGCTGGGGCGCGGCGAGCGTGTCGCGCGGGAGAGCGGTGGGCCAGAAGCGGCGGCGCCACACGCCAAGCGAACGCTCCTGACCGCGCGTCGAACAGCAGAGGGCACCGCCCCTGCAGACTGGTGCTCCCCTCGAGGGCCCCGCGGCGTCGCGGCGCAGCAGAAGGCGCCCAGGTCTTCGTCGTCCTCGGCAGCCGGAGGGCGGCTGCGGCTCCTGGCTCAAAGGGCCGCTCCACGAAGGACTCAGCTGGCCATCGCTCGGACGCCCATTCCCTGTTTTTTTTTGTTGTGGTTTCGTGCGCGGCTTTTTCGCCAAATGATCAAGGATGCTCCTCGATGGTCCTCGACGAAGGGAAACATGCACACGTCCGAGCGATGCCAAGTCAGGAAGAGCCCGCCCCTGGGAGAGGTGGTCGAGATCCCCGGGGCCCCGCGCAGCGCAGTCGCTGCAGCAGCGGAGGAGCGAGCCCCTCGGGGTGGGGAGCTGCACGTGCGGTGCCACTTCCCAGAGGCCGTGCGGCCGGGAAGGTGCCACCGCCCCTCCTCCCTCCTCCTCCTCCTCCTCCTCCTCCTCCTCCTCCTCCTCCTCCTCCTCCACCACCTCCTCTTCCTCCTCCTCCTCCGCCTCTGCCTCCTCCTCCTCCTCCACCTCCTCCGCCTCCTCCTCCGCCTCCTCCATCACGGGTCCAGCTCCCAGCAGGAAGCCTGGCACGCAGCCCAAGACTCCAGCAGAGCTGGACCACCTCGCGTGCCAACCCATGCACCCGCTCATGCACTCGGCACGCCCCGAGCATAGTCTTGACTGCTCGAGCACCTGGCACGCCTGGCATACCACGCAGGCCGCCTTCGCATAGACCGCCCACCCATGAGCCTGACCAGGTATTGCTTTGCCGTTGGCCCACGTTGCCCAGAAATGGCGCAGAAGCGGCCCGATGCTATCTCACGACTGAGCACACCATCTGCCCCTTGCCCCTCTCTCCCCTTCACCTCGCCTCCACCCCACAGGGCGTTACTGCGTAGAATCCTGTCGGACAGAATCCTGCATAGAATCCTGTCGGGGGGACGGGGGACAGTGTCCCCCGTCCACCCTCGAATCGCAGGGGCAGTACTTTGCATCTTGACCCGACCGGCAAAGCCACCAGTGCCTGTGACGAGCACAACTGCCAGATGCACGAACCACGTGTGGCCCACACGAGCCCCTGCTCTGTTCCCGCGAGCGCGACACAATCGGAACCTCGCGAGGCGCGCACGAGAATGCCCCAGCATTGCGGGACACGTCCGGCAGACGTACCTTGAGCATCGGATCTGAACAACAGGTTCGTGACAGTCATGCCACCCGAGAAAAAAAAACGGGGCGTACGAGATGTACCTGCACCTGATCTGTACAGGGCCACTGCTGTCACGGGGCAGCTCTGGGCCTGGTCGACTCCTCACAGACGACGGCTCAGGCGGCAGCAGCCACATGGCGCCGCCGTGCCTGCCATCTCCCACACGCAGCAGGTTCAAGCGCCAGCCCCGCTGATGTCACAGACTCGGCTGTAGCCTCCACCTCTGCGCGCTCCTCAAAGCACCGCGGGCACTGGCCATCACCCAGCGCCAGAAGGGCCCACGGGTGCGTTTTCGCACAGCGCGCGCACTCGACGATAAAATCGTCCCCCTCGGCCGCTCCGCTGCTGTCTGGGAGCACGCTGTTGTTGGCATCTGCTGCTCCGCTGCTGCTTGCAGCGCTGGAAGACGTGACGATGCGGCACGCAGCGCAACGCCCGTCACCATGCTGCAGCTGAGCCCAGTCGTGCACGGCCCCGCAGTCCGCACAATCCACCTGGAGCTCGTGCTCCGGGCCTCTGCCCGCAGCAAGAGGCGCCGCACCATCGCCTGGAGCACAGGCTGAAGGCGCCTCCGCAGACGCGGCCTTCTTCTTCTCCATCTTCCGCTGAGTGATCCAGGCCTCCTGCTCACGCGCCCCTTCCTTGATGAATTGGGGCGTGTGCGTGAGCGCCTTGGTCCGCAATAGCTCGTGCTTCTCGGCGTGGCGCTGCAACCTCCGAAGAGAACCAAAAAGATGACGATACCGGTGCTCCCCAGACCCCTCCCGTGGTGGGTTCTTCGCGGAATTCCGAGGCGCATCCAGCAGTGGCGACGAGGGCATCCCAGGAGGCCCAACCAGGCGAAAACGAGGCAAGGGTAGTGGCAACGGTAGCCCTTCCTCCCCTGAGCCTCACGAGCCTCTGCTGCACCAGCTTCAGCTCCACCTGGGTCTCCGCGTCCTGCAGCGCCGCCGTGGCGTCCACCTCCGCGGCGGGGCGCATCAGCTGCGCGGCGACGGCCTCGCTGCTGCGGTCTACCGCCGACCTCTCGGGCCTCTTCAGCTCTCCCGCCTGACGCTGCTTCTCGAGCTTCCGCAGGCGGTCCGCCTCCCCCGTCAGCCACTCTGGCAGCGCCTCGAGGGGCGCGTGGCTTTCCTGCGAGCCGTCTGGCAGCACGTGCCGCACCCGATGCCCCGCGGCGCAGAGGTCCTGGGCGACGGCCAGGCGGGCGTCCTGTCGCCAATCGCTCGCGCGGCCGAGGAAGGCGGTGGGCCTGCGCTTCCCCTGCCACGCGAGCTCTACGAGCACGTGCCTTCCCTGCTGGCTGCGGAGGTGCGCGAGCGTCCCGTACGCAGTCTCCCTGCCGATCACCATCCGCTTGTAGAAGATCCCTCTCGACTTGCACGACATCTTCAGGCCTTTGACAGAGAAGCGCTCGGGGACACCGACGAGCTCATGTCGGTAGTCGGTCGGGCGGATGTCGTAGAGCACGCGGATCGAGTTGACCTGCAGCATCTCGAAGAAGGCGCGCTCGCTCATGTCCCCGTGGCCGACGGAATGAAGCGTGGCCTTCTCCATGCCCTCCAGCGACAGGTGCTCCTGGGCTTGGCGGAACGCCATGAGGTCTCCGCTGGTCCCGTTCCACCTTCGGGAGCGGCCAAGAGGGGGGTTGGGGGGGCGTGCAAATCATGACCGGCGGCATGTGCGCGGCCCCGCGGGGGGGCCAGGGACGTAATGAAATAAGAAGGGGCGCCATGAAAACTGGCGAAATATCATGGCCCACGCCATGATATCCACCCCCCCTAATCATCACCCCCCTCTTCGCCGCCCCCGACACCTGTCCTCCGCATCCAGCCGGTCCAGCTCGGCCTCGTACTGCTGGAACTGGGCCTGCAGGCACTCGCCGCTGGCGCCCGCGGTGCGGTCCAGCTCCTCGAGGTGCAGCGCCAGCGCGGCGGCCTCGCTCGCCGCCTCCTCGGCGCCCGCCGGCCGCGGCGCTGGGCCCGCCTCGTCTGCGGCCACGAGCTGGGCCGCGAGTGCGGCGCTCTCGTCGTCGAGCTCGTTGCCGCTCGGGATGCCCTGCCTCTCCTCTGGGGGCAGGCAGAGGCACAGTGGAGGCCAGTCCACGAGGAACCTGCGCGAGAAACCCAACCCTGAGACCCCAGGGCGCCCATCGATGTTTGACGTGGGAGCGTCGCGCTCAAAATCATCGAAACCCAAGAAAACCAGGGCACCCTGGAGGCAAGCAGGGTGTTTCTTAGCATGGGTCTCCACTCTACCGAGACCGCTGCCCCCCCGATCCTCTCCGGGGGCGCGTTCTGACCAGGCTCCGAGGCGAATCCAGCGGTGGCGACGAGGGCCTCCCAGGAGGCCCCCCCAAAAGGGGAAACGGGGCCACTGGAGCGGTAGGGGTACAGTGAGGGCATTGGACAAGGAACCCTTAGGTAAGGAATCCAGGGTCTGGAAGTCGGTGGAACACCAAGTGGGCCTTGACCATGGAAATCACCGCCGCCCTTAGTTAAGGAATTCTGCAGGGTCTCTGGGGCCTCCTGGGCACATTCCTTCGCCAGCGCCCCCACCGTACCTTCTCCTCCTCTGCTCCTCGGCCCCGCCCTCGCCCACGGCGCGCCGCTTCCGCCAGCGGCCACCGCCGCCCGGCCCGAGAGGCCCATCCTCGGCGGCGGGAGCCGTGCCTGGCAGCGCGTGCCGGTCAGAGGCGGCGAGGAGCGCCTGCGCCGCGAGGGCCGGGTCGAAGGCGTGCGCGGCGAGGGCGGCCAGTGCCAGCTCCTCGTCGAAGCCGAGCTCGCACAGCGTCCGGACCTCGGCGTGGTGCCTGGACCAGAGGCCCGCGTGCGCCGCAGAGGCCGCGAGGTTCGCTGCCGTCTGCATCGCTGCGAGCTTTGACGACGGCGCCGCCTCCTCTGCATCGGTGATCGTCTGCCACATGGCCTGCTTCTGAAGCTTATCGGGGTAGAAGAACACCGGCACCGTGATGCGGCCTGTGGAGATAGCGGGCATCAGCGGCACTCCGTGACGCTGCGTGCCGAAGTTGATGAGGTCGCCATCTCGACAGAGCACTGGCGTGTTGTCGATGGTCAGGATGCGGTCCGAACCGAAACTGAGGAGAGCCGTCCAACAGTCGTGGCGGTGCGACCCCAGCATCATCTTCCCGTCCTCGTAGTAGTTCAGTAGGATGCCAGAGGTGCGGGACTCGATGCCGTACGTTGAGAAAAGCTTCTGCAAGGCGAGGTCCAACGCGGGCGACTGTCCCTTGCTGTACTTCGCCCTCATGTAGCCTTGCAACCTGATGTTGCCTTCCTTGTCGTACTTCAGGTGACGAGCGCCCGTGCGGAAATCCCGGGTCGTGGAGCCATCGCCCTGTTTCCACTCTGCGTTGCTCAAGAGCTCGGCGTAGACCGCCTCGTCCCTGGCGAAGCCCCGGCGGATCTCCACGTCGCGCCAGTGCGTGGCCGCGTCCATGGCCGAGGCCTCAGTCTTCCGGGCGCCCTGGCCAAAGGCGCCGCCATTCTCCAGCGCCAGGTAGGCGTGCACCCCGTGGGGGCGAGGCACCTCTTTGACGTCTTTCTGCCACCACTTGGAGACGAATTTCTCCGACCTGTCGAGGATCTTCGAGATGTCGGCCCTGCTTTTCCCCTCAACGCGCAGATGGATCGCCCGGAGCCGGTCCTGGTACTCCTTGTGCCCAGCGGAGGAGTTGCACTGGAAGTGTCCCTCGAGCTCAAAATGGCCGTCTAAATCGAACTCGGTCGTCTCCTCCTTGCCGTGAAACTGCGTCCACTGGTACGTGACGACGTTCCTCCGCTTGTCGAGATGCTCTGGCTGGCTGGATGCGCTGGAAGACGAAAACAGCCATAAAGAGGAGGAGGAGGAGGAGGAGGAGGAGGAGGAGGAGGAGGAGGAAGAGGAGAGGAGGAGGAGGAGGAGGAGGAGGAGGAGGAGGAGGAGGAGGAGGAGGCGGTCCACGCGGATCCCTCGGACCGGCGCTGGGCCCTCCCGCCTGCGCGCCAGGGTGGTCCAGCGCCGATCCAATAAATCCGCGAGCACCCTCGAAAGCCGTGTCTCACGGGGCCTTAAGGTACACACCACCACCACCACCTCCGTCATCCCCTCCCTCTCCCAGGAATGGAGGAGAGGAAGATGAGGGTTGAGGAGGGAGGAGGAATCGGCGTGGTGGTAGTGTATATTCTTGGGGCCCTGCACGTCTACCATCTGGAAATGCTGCTTATCGCGTGTCGCCGCGGCGGCCCCGGCGACGCGCCGGCAGCGAGGTGCCGATACCGCTACTCTTATGTCGGGCATGTCCCCCCTACAGGGGGATTTTGCACGAAAAATTGAAAACACCCCACAAAGATTCAGACATATTTTGTACAAATGCTCAAAATATGATCCCCATACTATTTTTGACTGTTTTTGAATTTTCCTCCTGTAGAGGAACAGGCCCGACTTAACGCTACTCCCAGGACCGTGTCCACGGGTGCGTCCTGGCCAGGATCTCGAGGCGAAGCCATCGGTGGCGACGAGGAGCGCCCAGGAGGCCCAAAAAGTGGAGCACGAGAGAAATGCAGCGGCACGGGTATGCCATTTTCTCCCCTGAGCCCAGACCCTCGATGTCATATTTTGTTCGCAACTTCCACCCCCAGAGGTCTCGACCCAGTCCCTGGGCCAGAGTTCTCGTCCTGAGTCGGTTTTTGATGGCCCTGGGGCCTGGTAAGGGCCCTCAGGGGCCGACAGTAGCGAGAAACTTCCCGTCGTGATCTTCCCCGCCGCGAGAAGGTCTGGGACTCTGGGAGCCAAGCCGTGGTAAGGCATTGGTTTTGCTGTATCGTGGTGGTTAAGTCGTGGTTCTAGTCGCGTTCGAGTCGCGTTCTAGTCGCGTTCCAGTCGCGGCCTTGTCGCGACCAGAATTCTGGTCGCGTTCTGGTCGTGGGGCCGTTTCGGGGTGGGGCGGGTAGAGCTTGGCAAGCCGAAACTCCAGACCGCATGGCTTTCTTCGTCTCCGGTGCGTGCCCGTCGGCGCCGGCCAGCGGGCGCGGGGCCGCTCCCGCCCTCGCCTCGCGGCCTGCGGGAGCGGGCCCGGCAACGGCGTGGTCGAGGCGCCGGTGCGGCGGCATCGCTCTCGCCCGGGGGATCTCGGGCCGAAAAAAAGGGCGTGCCCCACCTCCTCCCTCCTTCCTTCTCCTCCTCCTTCTCCTGATCCTCCTCCTCCTCCTCCTCCTCCTCCTCCTCCTGTCCTCCTCCTCCTCCTCCTCCTCCTCCTCCTCCTCCTCCTCCTCCTCCTCCTCCTCCCTCTTGTCCTCCTCCTCCCAAGACCCCCTCGGGGACGCGCCAGGACATGCTCCAGCACGGTGTGTAGCCTCCTCGGAGGCGCGCGCCCGGCCCGAACACATGCGGTGCAGCCATATATTTGTTTGTGGTGGATCGTTTGTCCCGAGCTGTGCGGCCAGAGAGCGCCCGCGACGCACCGCACACAGGAAGATGCAGCGGAGCGCGCGCCGCCCCGTGAGGGGCGACGCACACACATAGCACAGGGCAGTTTTTTTAACACATGGGATCTTGAAACAGATAGGGTTGCTTTACGACATGCTTCATGTATGAACAGATGTATGCATGCACTCCTCGTTGTTTTGTAATACTAAATCCCTGCATGTTCAAAACATGATCCGCACGCGGAGCATGCATATAAAAAACGGCACTGTATATGAGTATGGCGAGGTGGCGCCGACCCTCGAGGCAAAAATCACGACGGGCGGTTCGTCGCTGCCTTCGGCCTCTGCAAAAGGCCCCCGTCGGGCCTCGGGGCCGTCACGGAACGGCCTCGGGATGGCACACCGGGCCATAGGGGGAGAACGCCGCAGGGCCTGGAGCTTCGGCTTGGCTCCCAGACCGCCTCGCGTGGTGGAAAAAGCACGACGGGAGGTCTCTCGCTACGTTCGGCCTCTGGGTGCCCTCACTGGTCCTCGGGGCCGTCGAGAAACGACTCAGGAGGAGGAGGAGAAAGGAGGAGGAGGAGAAAGGAGCAGGAGGAGGAGGAGGAGGAGGAGGAGGAGGAGTGCCCTTACTGGTCCTCGGGGCCGTCGAGAAACGACTCAGGAGGAGGAGAAGGGAGGAGGAGGAGGAGGAGGAGAAGGAGGAGGAAGAGGTCTCGTCCTGGGGATGGGGTCGAGACCTCAGGGGGTCGACGCCGTGACGAGAATCACGACGTCGGGGGTCCGGCTCTCGACGCGGAACGCTCCGAGCGGAGAATCCGCGGCAGCGTTCGGCCTCCAGGGGCCCTCGCCGGGCCCTGGGACTGCCCCCCCCCAAAAAAAAAACTGTCTCTAGGGCGGTTGCCCCCCCCCCCCCCAACAAAAAAAAGAACTGTCTTTAGGGCGGTTGTCTCCACCCCCCATTTAGGTCCCCCCCCCCATCAGCACCCGCCAGATACCAGCATGATGCTGGGGAGGAGCTGGTCTCGGGGAGGCGGCCCAAGTTTCGGGGGGCGAAAAGTGCTCAAGCCGAAAAAAGCGTTCTGCACCTGTGTCGCCTTGGGGGCGTGCCCCGCTGCCACTGCCCAGGTGGGCTGTCGCCCCCCCGCCGGGTGTCGGGAGAAGTCCTCCTCCTCGGCATGCCCCATTTGTGGCGTAGTGTCCCGTTGATTGCGAGGCCACCACTGTCACACTTGCGGACGACTGTGCTGCAGCATCGTCGATGCTGCCTCGAACGAGTTTTCGTTGTCGAGGGTCGCCGTATTGCCCTTTCACCTGCAGCACTGGTTGACGGGGTGGCTAGCCCGAGCTGCTGCAAGCACCTCCTGTGTGCCGTATCCGTCAGTATCGCATCGGAGAGGGCCTGTGGCTCCGGTAAAGACCAACGCATGTACCTACCCGAAGGGTGCAAACCAGGGGGAGGAGGAAGAGGGGGAGGAGGAGAAGGAAGAGAAGGATGAGGATCTCAAGGCAGTGTCCAGCTTGGGGGAGCGGGACGGAGCCCCCGCAAAATCAGGTGGCGGGAGTCCACCGGGTTTCTGGAGGCAGCACAGGGGGCGCACTGCTCTGAAAAAAATCTCTGCCGGTGGCGGGCATACTTGCCTTGGCGTGTTAGATGCTCGTTCTGGGGACCTTCCTGGAGCTGCTCGCTCCTCTCATGCGTCGGTGCCGCGTCGAACGTCCGCCGAATTGGGTCGAGCTTGAGTCGAGCTTGAGTCGAACTTGAGTCGAACTTGAGTCGAGCTCGAGTCGAACTAGAGTGGAACAGATCCATTGGGTTGTCCCAGCCCCACCAATTAGAAAATGCTTGAGACTCTCGAGAGCAGAGCCGCCCCCTCACTCCACGCCTATCCGCGTCCGAAAGGGTCTGCAGCCTCATCCCAAATGATGTTTGGGGTGACAAAGAGGTACTGGTACCCGATGCTGCTACTCCCAGGGCCTCCCTCGAGGAGAATCCAGCTGTGGCGACGAGAGCTCTCCAGGACGAGCACAGGCATCGGTACCTCTTCATCCTCTGAACCTGAGATCCGACGGCGCGAAAAATCCGCCGGCCCCCTTGTGGGGCCACCAGGCTGTAGGAGCGGGGTTCGCAGCCTCCTGTACCAGTTGTAGCTTGTAGTTTCCAGTGTTACAGTTCTGCTTCTTGCTGGTTACTGTAACTAGTTGATTGTTCTCCTTCTTGCTGGTTACTGTAACTAGTTGATTGACCGCGCGAGGGGGGGGAGGCCCAAACCGGCTTTTTAGCGTCCCCTGGGCGCGTTGTCTGAATTGCTGGGGGGGCTCGAAATCGCCACCCCTCACGCAGATCCGCGGGGTCAGGGTCCAAAAACACAAGGGATTTGCCACATTTCTGAAATTCGGTGCCACCCCTCACGCAGATCCGCGGGGTCAGGGTCCAAAAACACATGGGATTTGCCACATTTCTGAAATTCGGTGCCACCCCTCACGCAGATCCGCGGGGTCAGGGTCCAAAAACACACGGATTTGCCACATTTTTGAAATTCGGTGCCACCCCTCACGCAGATCCGCGGGGTCAGGGTCCAAAAACACAAGGGATTTGCCACATTTCTGAAATTCGGTGCCACCCCTCACGCAGATCCGCGGGGTCAGGGTCCAAAAACACATGGGATTTGCCACATTTCTGAAATTCGGTGCCACCCCTCACGCAGATCCGCGGGGTCAGGGTCCAAAAACACATGGGATTTGCTACATTTCTGAAATTCGGTGCCACCCCTCACGCAGATCCGCGGGGTCAGGGTCCAAAAACACAAGGGATTTGCCACATTTCTGAAATTCGGTGCCACCCCTCACGCAGATCCGCGGGGTCAGGGTCCAAAAACACAGGGATTTGCCACATTTCTGAAATTCGGTGCCACCCCTCACGCAGATCCGCGGGGTCAGGGTCCAAAAACACAGGGGATTTGCCACATTTCTGAAATTCGGTGCCACCCCTCACGCAGATCCGCGGGGTCAGGGTCCAAAAACACATGGGATTTGCCACATTTCTGAAATTCGGTGCCACCCCTCACGCAGATCCGCGGGGTCAGGGTCCAAAAACACATGGGATTTGCCACATTTCTGAAATTCGGTGCCACCCCTCACGCAGATCCGCGGGGTCAGGGTCCAAAAACACATGGGATTTGCCACATTTCTGAAATTCGGTGCCACCCCTCACGCAGATCCGCGGGGTCAGGGTCCAAAAACACAGGGGATTTGCCACATTTCTGAAATTCGGTGCCACCCTTCACGCACATCCATCGCAAGGCGTGGTGACCCAAACTGCGAGAACTCCCTCGGCCCTTTAATCGCAAGGTGTGGTAACCAAGCCCGTAAACCATACACGTCTTACCAATCGCCAGGTGTGGTAACCCCTCTTGTGATCAGTTGGCTTTGCTGATTGCGAATCGGCTTCGCATGAAGTTTCGATACTGCTTCACGACAGCGCCAAGGCCTCATGACTTAGCTCTTCCATGGCCCATTCTCCGAGAGAGGGGGCCGGCGGCAGGGGGCGAAGCCCTTACGGTATTAAAACATCGTAAAAATCACCGCCAGAGCCCTGAACCCCATCTTTCTGCTTTTTCGAGCCGGATCGATCTGTGAGGGTCCCGTGGCCCAAGACTGGGCTGCATCGCCAGGCTCGAAAAATTGAGACGCCAGGATCTCAGGAGAGTTGTGTGGCGTGCCCCTGGAGCGCCTTGCTCGGTAACGCTTGCTTCCAGACTTCAGGAGGGGGGCCGAGGCGGTCACGGTACAGCACGAACCAGCAAAGGAGCCGGGCGCCGCCTCGAATGCGTCCTCGTTCCAGCTCGGCTCGCAATTCGGGGTGCAGCTGTGGTTGAAACGGCTCACCTGGGGGAGGAGGAGGAGGAGGAGGAGGAGGAGGAGGAGGAGGAGGAGAGGAGGAGGAGGAGGGAGGAGGAGGAGGGAGGAGGAGGAGGAGGAGGAGGGAGGAGGAGGAGGAGGAGGAGGAGGAGGAGGAGGAGGAGGAGGAGGAGGAGGAGTAGGAGGAAAAGGATGAGGATGAGGATGAGGATGAGGATGAGGATGAGGTGAGGATGAGGATGATGATGAGGATGATGATGGATGAGGAGGAGGAGGAGGAGGAGGAGGAGGAGGAGGGAGGACGAGGAGGAGGAGCAGGAGGAGGAGGAGGAGGAGGAGGAGGAGGAGGAGGAGGAGAGGGGAGAAGGAGAGTGGATGCGAAGGATGAGGAGGAACGAAGAAGGAGAGAGAAGTGGAGCAGGAGGAGAGGGCAGAATGGATGAGGAGGAGGAGAAGTGGAGCAGGAGGAGGAGGAGGAGGAGGAGGAGGAGGAGGAGAAGCGACGAGAGAGGCGGAGGTCGAGGGTCCCTCGCCTCTCTTCCCCCCTCCCTCCCCCATCCTTCCTGACCCTCCCCTGGTCCCCTCCCTTATCCATTCCCACTCCCCTCCCTGCTCCTTCCTCCTACTCATCCCCTCGTCCTCCTCGTCCTCCTCGTCCCTCCTCCTACTCGTCCCTCCTCCCTATTCGCACTCCTCGTCCCTCGTTCCTCCTTCATCCTCGTCCTCCCTCCCCCTCCATGCCCACTCCTCGTCCCTCCTCTTGCTGCTGCTCCTCGTCCTCGTGCTCCTCGTGCCCCCCTCGTCCTCCCAGTGATCCTGCTGCTCCTGCTCCCTCTCTCCTGCTCCTGTTGCCCTTCCACCTCCTTCCTCCTCCTCCATTTCCTCCTCCTCCTCCTCCTCCTCCTTCTCCTCCGCCTCATCCTCCCACTCTAACTCCGCCGCATCCCTCCTGCTCATCCACCTCCTTCTTGGAATCCTCCTCATCCTCCTCCTCCTCCTTTCCTGCTCCTCCTCCTCCTCCTCCTCCTCCTCCCTCCTCCTCCTCCTCCTCCTCCTCCTCCTCCTCCTCCTCCTCCTCGTCCTCCTCCTTCTCCTCGTCCTCCCTCCACCTCCTCCTCCTCCACCTCCTCCACCTCCTCCTCCTCCTCCTCCTCCTCCTCCTCCACCTCCTCTGCCTCCTCATCTGCCTCCTCTCATTATCCTTCTCCTCCTCTTTCGCTTCTTCCTCCTCCTCCTCCTCCTCCTCCTCCTCATCCTCCTCTCACTTCCCGCCCTCGTCCTCTTGCCGTCCTCCCACTCCTGCTCCTCCCCGCCCAAGTGAGGCCCCCTCAATTTCAGAGTTCGCTCATTTGGCATGCGCCCTGGCCAGAAATGCGAAGCATGAAGCCTCAACGCCAAACGATAACCTTCCCTAGACTTGGCGCAAACTATCGGAAACTCCAGGAAGAGGGGTCCCAGAAGCCGGCGACAGGACAAGAGGGGAATAGTTGGAAGAGGGCATGACAAGACACGACAAGACAAGACAAGACACGGCAGGACAAGACACGACAATGCAAAGCAGCCCGCATAGAGCACCCGCGCGGGTGCCGCGGGTGGGCGCAGGGGCGCCAGGATGGCCGTGGCGAGTAATTCTCTGAAAGCCAGCCCCCTCTCTTGGGACACCGCCCCTTCCCCGTTGCCCGTCGGAATGCAGGTGCCGTTTTCTGGGGCGGGGGGGGGGCGCCACGGGCGGCGGGCGAGGGAGCGTCTCATAAGGTGGAGGATGAGGAATGAGCAAGGGGCTGAGAGGAGGAGGAGAAGGAGGAGGAGGAAGAGAGCGGAGGAGGAAGAGAGCGGAGTGGGAAGGGGGACAACGAAGGAAGGAAGGCGAGGGGACGGAGGGGAGAAGGGAAGGAGGACGATCGGCGTCCACCGCGTGGCCTCGCCTGTAGCAGAAGGGCCACGTCGAAAGGGCTCTCGCCGCGGCCGACGGCGTTGGAGAGCACGATGCCCTCCTGGCTGCGGAGAGAGAAGGAAGGCAACGAGGACGACAAGGACGGCGACGACAAGGAGCGGTGCGCCGCACATGGCGGCCTCGATACCCGAGAGAAACGGACAACCTCGATCGAACGCTCGGGCCCCCAAGAGTCTGAATGTCGGGGCATCCTCCAGCCAGCTCTTCCTCCTCCTCCTCCTCTGACCCTCCTCCTCCACGTCCTCCTCCTCCTCCTCCTCCACCTCCTCCTCCTCCTCCTTCTCCTCCTCCTCCTCCGCCTCCTCCTCCTCTCCTCTCCCTCCTCCTCCTCCTCCTCGGTCTGCATGGCGTCTTCAGCGTAGTGCGCACCCCCTCCAGAGCCTCACCAACTGTTGTTCACAATGATTCGAATGGATGCGTGCGAATGATCCTTCCGCAGGTTCACCTACGGAAACCTTGTTACGACTTCTCCTTCCTCTAAGTGATAAGGTTCACTAAACTTTCCACAAGCAAGTCCAGGAACTGGACACCGCAGCAGTCGGAATCATTCACCGGATCACTCAATCGGTAAGAGCGACGGGCGGTGTGTACAAAGGGCAGGGACGTAATCAGCACGCACGCACGCCCACACACAGACACGCACGCACGCACGCACGCACACACACACACACAGACACGCACACACGCACGCACGCACGCACGCACGCACGCACGCACGCACGCACGCACGCACGCACGCACGCACGCACGCACGCACCCACACACCCACACACACACACACACACGCACACACGCACACATCTCACCAGCAGCATCCGCACCCGCATCTGCGTCGGAGCCAGCTGCGGAAGCGTCATCATCGCCGCCACTGCCACCAGAGGAAGAGAGCACAATATAAACGTAAACTTGTGGAGCTCTGCGCGGATTCGTGGATCGGCGCTGGAGCCCACTGGCGGCGCCTCCGGCGCCTCCCTGGCGCGCTCCGCGCGCCAGGGAGGGGGTCCAGCGCCGATCCTAGAAATCCGCACGGACCCCAGAATTGTTGTTTCTGTCATTGCTTGTTCCCCTAGAAGCGTCATCATCGCCGTCATCGCCATGGCCATCGCCATATCACCAGACGCAGTATCATCGCCGACGTCAGCATCATAATCCTCTCGTACGAGCGGCTACATCACAAGAACATCGTTCAATTATGCCGGCACTCCCTGAGAGTCTCTGCACCAGTTGGCTTTTTTCAACTGCCCATGGTATTGGTAAGCTCTGCGACAATATCACTGAGCATTAGTGCCGCATCCCAGAGGTGAACATGTCCTTGGATACGTCGGCGCCTCGCTCCAGAGTCTTCAATGCAGCCTCTTCCTCGCGGCACCTTTGCACAACGTGGCTCTCGCATTAGCGCCGCGCGTATTCGTCTTAAAAGTTTGTACAAATTTCAAAGACTCGTTCGATTGAGTACCTAGCACTGGTGTCCTGACACGGTCTGGTATCAGGACGCTACACTCACGTTGACTCGCGGAGCTGAAGTCCCAGGAATGTTGTTCTGGCATGGTCTAGGATTTTCATGACGGAACAGTCACGTTGATCGGTGGCGCTGAATTCCAAGGAATGGCGTTCTGGCACAATTGTTTCGCCATCTTCTCCACCTCGGCCTGCTCACCGTAGGCAAAACACCGACGTGCTAGCCGCAACCATGAAGTCTACGGCGAGGAGCATTTGTTTAGCGTGTCGCGGCGGCGGCCCATGCGACAAGATATGCCTTCAAGCTGCTAGCGTGTCGCTCTGCGTCGTGGGACGGGCGACAAGGACCAACTCGGAGCGTAGCTGCTTGGGGACTCGGGAGTGCTTAGCGTGTCGCGCAAACATGTGGTGGGCAGAAAGGACGCCACTGCACCCTAAGCACACGCTCCTGGCCGTACGATATGTCAAGTCGGAGAGCGGGATAGGATGGCTACCACCATCATCATCATCATCATCATCATCATCATCATCATCATCATCATCATCATCATCATCATCATCATCATCATCGTCATCATCATCACCAGCATAATCGTGATCATCATCATCCTCCTCATCATCAGCATCATCATGATCATCAGCAGCATCGCCACCACCGCCAACATCGTCAACATCATCATCAACATCATCAGCACATTAGCACCATCATCATCATCATCATCATCATCATCATCATCACCATCATCATCGTCGGCACCATCATTATCAACAACATCATCACCATCGCCATCATCGGCATCATCAGCACCACCACCATCACCAGCACCGCCATCATCATCATCATCATCATCATCATCATCAGCATCAGCATCATAATCACCAACGCAATCAACATCACCACCAGCATTATCAGCACCATCATCCTCAGCACCGCCACCACCACCAGTACCATCATCAGCATCATCATCATCAGCGTCATTATCATCATCACCATCGCAATCAGCATCAGCATCAGCATCGTCAGCAACATCATCCTCAGCACCGCCACCACCACCAGCACCAGCATCAGCATCATTATCATCAGCAGCATCATCATCAACATCACCATCATTAACATCACAAACATCATCACCATCAATCTCCATCTCATCACCGTCATCCTCTCCTCCTTCGCAAACTCATCATCACAACCAGCATCATCACCGTCATCAGCATCATCATCATCATCATCATCATCATCATCATCATCATCATCATCATCATCATCATCGCCATCCTCACCAACAACACAATCACCATCATCATCATCATCAGCATCATCATCGTCGTCATCATCCTGGTCGTCGTCATAATCATACTCAGCATCGGTATGATCAAGCATTATCGTCATTATCATCATCCCGCCATCGTCATCGTCAGCATCATCATCAGCAGCAACACCATCATCACCATCATCGTCATCACCATCAGCAGCATCATCATCGTTATTCGCCCGAATTCCGATCCGTCTTCACTCCACCTCCCTCTTGCAACTCCTCCTCCTTCCTCCTCATCGCCATCAGTTGTCCACCTCCTTCGTTTCCTCCTCGGTCTCCCCACAGTCCTTCCTCGTCGTCACCTTACCTCCTGCCTCCTCGTTCTGCCTGTCTGTCCCCGTTCCTCCTCCTCATCGTCATCGTCCTCCTCATCCTTTTTGGGGGCGGATGGAGGATGAGCGTGGAAGAGGAAGAACGAGGAGAGGGAATAGGAGGAGAAGGCGGCGACCCAGGAAAATGAGTGAGGGAAAGGGGAGGGGAAGCGAAGCAGAAGAAACATAAAATGATTGGAGGAGGGGGCGAACTGAGGGGGAAGGAGGAGGAGGAGGAGGAGGAGGAGGAGAAGGCGGAAGGGGATGAGGAGGAGGAGGAGGAGGAGGAGAAGGAGGAGGAGGAGGAGGAGGAGAGAGGATGAGAGAGGAGTGAGGAATGAGCAGGAGGGGTGCCCCGCAATTTGGCTCCAACGACTTGTCGGGCGCAAACACGCAGGCGTCGTGCAGGTCCATGACCTGCTCCTGGGGAAGGGTCATGGCACCTCCACCTCCCCCCTCCTGCCCCACCCCATCGTCCATCGACGCCCTCCTCTTCATCCCCTCCCCCTCCTACTCACCATCATTCCCCTCCTCCTCCTCCTCCTCCTCCTCCTCCTCCTCCTCATCCTCCTCCTCCACCACCACCACCACCATCTCCATCACCCCCCAGGGCAGGAGAAGAGGAGGACGAGGAGCAATCGGAGCCCAACTGCTAAGCGCGAGTATCTTCGCGCCCTCGCGCCGCCAGCCAAGGGGGAAGAAGAAGACGAGGAGGAAGCGGAGCCCAACCGCTAAGCGCGAATATCTTCGCGCCCTCGCGCCGCCAGCCAGGGGGGAGAAGAAGAGAACGAGGAGGAAGCGGAGCCCAACCGCTAAGCGCGAATAACCTTGCGCCCTCGAGGGCGCCAGCCAGGGGGGAAGAGGAGGACGAGGAGGAAGCGGAGCCCAACCGCTAAGCGCGAATCTATCTTCGCGCCCTCGAGGGCCCCCTCGCCTCTGCCCTGGGCGGCGTTCCGCCCTCTGCCGCCTCCCCGCTGCCTCCACCGCCTGCCTTGGCCCCCCGCCTGCCCTCGCCGGCCCTCCGTGCCTCGCCTCCTGCGCTGGCGGCCCCAACCCATCCATCCCCGAGGCGGGATCCTGCAAGTCTGGCGACAGGGCATCGAACTCTCTGCGCAGGTCCTCGGGGGGGGGGGCGGGGGAGGAGGACAGGGGCGGAGAGGGAGGAGAAGGACCAATGATGATGAGGAGGTGGAAGAAGAAGGAGAAGAAGAATAATAAGAAGAAGAAGATGGAAGTGGGGGAGAAATAGGAAAACAATAACAAGGATGATGGGGAAGCGGCAGAAAGAAGGAGGGGAAGGAAAGCAGACATAAGGACGATGAGGGAAAGCGAGAGGAGGAGGAGGAGGAGGAGGAGGAGGAGGAGGAGGAGGAGGAGGAGGAGGAGGAGGAGGCAGAACGAGGAGGCGGATGATGATGTTGTCGTTGTTGTTGTTGGGTATGATGAGGAGGAGGTGGAGGAGGGAGCAGGACCAGGAGGAACCGAAGGGACAGGGGGGAGGAGGAGGAGGAGGAGGAGGAGGAGGAGGAGGAGGAGGAGGAGGAGGAGAAGGAGGAGGAGTGAACGAAGCCTGGGGGGCGAACGGTTCGCTTCGGTTAGTGTGCTCCCCTCTGTAATGGGAGCACACCGTCTCGGCTCGCGGGCGGGGCGGGAGGCACCGAGCGCGGGGCACGAGCATTAATAATGTGACTGCCTGATGCATCTTGCGATGGCACAGGGCGCGGCATGCTGGCCGCGCGCACACTGCGGGCGGGGCTGCCAGAGGTGGCAGCCAGGGGCACAGGGCGCGGCATTCGGGCCGCGCGCGGGCGGCTCAAGGGCGTCAGGCTGCCGCGGCGGCCAGCTCCTCCAGTGGCGTCATGAGGTAGTTGGAGAGCGTGCCGAGCAGCATGAGTGGCCGCGTAGCCTTCTGACGGCGTGACGCACCTCACGCTGGCAATGTCCTTCAGGATGTGGTAGAGCCTCGTCGCGACTCCCAAGCGTGTGGCCGACGATGCAATTCCGTTCTCGCCGTCGAATGGGGTCTCGAGCGTCGGGAGGCCGATCCGCGTGAGAATGTAAGTGGCCAGCTGTCCTCTAGGCTGGGCAACATGATGCAGAAGCCATGGACACACAAGATAGTGTTGTACAGCATCAGGGCACCTGCAACCGAAGAAACAGTCGCGGCGCTGGGGGGCACATGCATGCGTGTTGTCGTAGTCCATGCTCCAGCCAGCGCTTTCACGATGGCCCAAACTCTCGCAGGAGGCTGCGTCGCCAGGTATGCGCGAAGGCGGTGCCAGCGCGGTTGAAGATCTTCAGGAAGAGTCTCCAGTTGGACCAGGCCAGGAACGTCATGGGCAGCCAGCGGGTCCAGATCATCTTCAGCATCAGGATCATGATCATCGTCTCCAGGACGCAGTTCAGGGTCACCTCCAGGAGGGAAGCGCAGTCGTTGGCTGCGGACCCAGCGGCGCCTGGCGCGGTGTTCAGCAGTTGCGGTACGCCGCAGCGCAAGTGCGCGTAGTTGAGCGGCGGGTTCCTGCGGGGCGTCGAGCAGAGCTGCCTCAAGACGGGATCGTGGGACCCAAGAAGCATGCCACGCTTCGCGACATATTGTAGTTGCCAAGCGTCTGCGCTCGGCATGGTGGACCATATGGGCAGGAAGACGTCGCGGTTGAACGCCCGCACGACGTTATCGATGCACCACTCGTCCCACTCCTTCTCGCTGTCAATGTTGGGGTCCATCAGGGGAAGATCGGGGGGCCAACTGCCAGCCCAGTGTGCCGCGCGATCTTGTAGATTCGCTCTCGTGGCTTGAGCAAGCGGGAGCGCAGGGTCTTGATGACGTACTGGACGCGGCAGGAGATACCAGGCAGAAGGGGCGTTTAGCAATGGTATTGTGGAACGTGTCATTGTGAAGTTTGGAGCACAAGCCGAGGGGATACGCTTTCTGAGGTGACTGCGGGCGTGTCAGCGGGCCATCATCACTTCAAGCACGGCGCCGTGGAGGTTGCATCGCTGCGGCGCCAAGGCGAGCCGCATGAAGATGCGCTGCCGGGAGTGCGGCGCGGGCCCGCCGTTCACCGCCAAGATCACGCACAGGTCTCTTAAAGTGTGAACCAGCGGAGTTGACGTGGAACTCCGAGGTGGTGGTGTCGAAGAGGCGCTGCGCGATGGAGATCGGGTTGATCAAGCATGGGGCGCTCCATTGGCCAGTGATCTTGGCAACGAACCCCAGCGCGGCGATCGCATTCTCATTCAGCTCGTGATACCATTGCGACCATCCAGTCAGTGTCCTCGTCGACGTGCGCCACATCGTAGCTGCCAGCGTGGGTTCACTATCTGCAGGTACTTCGATTCGAGTCCAGCCCGCCATGCCGAAGATGTCGCTTTCGGGGAAACTGTTGGGCGCCACTCGAAGTTTTTTGTGGAGAGCACGTTGTTCTTTGGCAAGAAGGGCCTCAGGAGGTTCATAAAGTTGACCCGCATCTGATAAGCATGTAACGGCAGCCACATTACACGTTTTGGTACTGATATGCAAAGGTGAGAAGCCCTCAGCCAGCTTGAGAACACGCTCCCACCACTTTGTCGCTGGAACCTCCCTTTGATCCTGCAGCGAAGCTCCAGGTCCCACCTGAAAGCCGAGGTACTTGGCGGAGGGGGCAATAGTGAAGCTCCTCCACGGGGCGTGGATGCTTTCGAGGATGTTATGGATGTCTACGCTCAGGCTGGGGGTCGGCAGTGACCAAGTGGGAACGATGACGCACTTCTTTGGTTGGAGCTGTGATCCCGCGAGATTTTCTGCAGCGGGTAGATGGGGTAAAAGACGTTGAAGGTCGCGTAGATGGCGTAGTATGGTACCAAGGGCATCAGCACATGCACTGATAAGCCCACGGCGAAGCTGGTGGAGTTCTGCCGATATGCCACGGATGAACGGGTCGAAGACTACCGCCCATATAGTTCCACTGAGTTGGCATCCTTGAGCCACACCAGACTCGGCACTGAGAAGGGAGCGCCGAACACCTCCAATAGTGAGGAAACACAGCGGGTTCGTGTAGCAGCACGTCAAGATCTTGGCAACGTTTCCCTGGATGCCCCACCTCGCTAGGACTGCCCACAGCCATTGTCGCATCAGCGACGGGAAGGCGGCCGCGATGTCCATGGACGCGAAGATGGGCATCAGAGGGCCAGCATTGGGGTCCGTGCTGGAGAGCCTCGCTTGCATGTCAACCTGCACGACATTGTGTAGGAATTGGCGGCCACGAACAAATCCCTTCTGCTCCACTGGCGTGTCCTTCGCTAGGTGCGAGAGAGTGAGGTTGGCTGCTGATGCGATGGGTTTCACATCTGTGTGTTTTTCATGCTGGGGGGCCGCAGTGTGCTCGGCGTACGCGTGCACTCACAATTCCCCAGCGGGTCGCCACCCTTGGGCAGCATGGCCAGCATCGCATGGCCCAGGTCGCGCGGCGCCCCGTAGTCCGTTATGTGGGAGACGAATTTGGCCAAGATGGGGAGAGCTCCAGGCGAACGAAGCCGGGCACGGTAAGGTAGCCCGTCTGGTCCAGGCGCGGAATCGCCAGCTCGTTTAGCAACTTGTCGCAGCTCTTCTTCACCTGGTACGGCATATTCCAGCGCGGGACGCTGAGGGAAGACACGGTCGAGGTATTATTGATCATCTTGGTCCGAGGTCGTGCGTGCGGCAAAAATCGGGCTCCAGTGGCTCATAATGGCCGTGTGCATATGACTCGGTTCATGAACTGTGTTTCCCGTCGTGATTTTGATGCCCAGCTGGGATGAGGCGTCTCGAGAAGGGCCGCCATAGTTCACCTTTACGAGCATGTTGACGGGCACGATGCCGCCATTGGTCACCAAGCTGTATATTCTGTTTCGCGCATTCAATCCGGGCATTGGCAGCAGCACGGGCGCGACGTTCTTCAGCAAGTGAGGAATGAATGTCGAGGGTCTCGTTGGTGTAGTCGACTGGTTGGATGAGCTTGACGCTGTCGCCGTCAATATGTAAGTATGTGCGGCCGATCTCGGTGTTATCGATGAGCGTGGAGGCAAGGTCTTTGTTCTGGTCCCAGACTGCTCGGTCGATGCTTCTCAGGGTCATGCCGCGGATCTCCTTGCTGATATCCACGTTCTGCGAGTCAAGTTCGGCCGTGGGAATCTTCGTGAGCGCGTTCCTGGTCAAGCGGGCGGCCTCGTGCATCAATGATTTCTGGAACCGCCATTGATGAACTGGGTCATAGTGGGAAAGATCATGCCGAGCGGATAACTTCTCGTAGTGGTGAGCGTAATGCGGAGAATCAAATAGAAAAGCGGGAACAGGTTGATCTTGCACTGGCTTGCTGCGTGCAGGACGAATGCGGAGAAACATGATCTCGTGGTCACTTATCATGCCAGATGGGCTTTCGAGTGGGGAGTCGTCAGCCTTGGGT